TCTTGGCACTTTTGTTGAAAATGAGTTCACTGTAAGTGTGTGGATTCGTATCTGTGTTCTCTATTCTGTTCCATTGGTCTATGTTTCTGTTTTTATGCCAGAACCATGCTGTTTTGTTTACTCTAGCTCTGTAGTATAATTTGAAGTGAGGTAAAGTGAGTCCTCCAGTTTAGTTCTTTTTGCTTAGGGTAATTTTGTCTCTTATGGGTTGCTTCTGGTTCCATATAAATTTTTGGATTTTTTTTCTATTTCTGTGAAGAATGGCATTGGTATTTTGATAGCAGTTACATTGAATCTGTACATTGCTTTGGGTAGTATGGAAATGTTAACAATATTAATTCTTCCAATCCATGAACATGGACTATCTTTTCATTTTTTGATGTCCTCTTCAATTTCTTTCATCAGTGTTTTATAATTTTCATTATAGAGATCTTGCATTTCTTTGGTTAAATTAATCTTTTGGTATTTAACTTTATCTGTGGCTATGGTAAATGGGAGTACTTTCTAAAATGTCTAAAAATGCTACTGATTTTTGTATGTTGATTTTGTATCCTTCAACCATACCAGATTTGTTTATCAATTGTAATAGTTTGTTCAATTGTAATAGTTTGTGTGTGTGTGTGTGTGTGTGTGTGTGTGTAGTCTTTAGGTTTTTCCAAATGTATGATTATATCATCTACAATCAAGGATAATTTGACTTCTTCCATTCCAGTTTGGATGCCCTTTATTTCTTTTTCTTGTCAGATTGTTCTTGCTTGGACTTTCAGTACTATATTGAATAGCAGTGGTGACAATGGGCATGCTTGTTGTTTTCCAGATCTTAGAGGAAAGGCGTGCAGCTTTTTTCCATTCAGTTTGATGCTTGCTGTGGGTCTGTCATATATGGCTTTTATTATGTTGATGTACATTCCTACTATACCCAGTTTTTTGAGTATTTTTATCATGAAGGAATGTTAAATTTTATCAAATATATTTTCAGCATCAGTTGAAATAATCATATGGTTTTTGTCCTTCACTCTGTCGACATGATATATCACATTTATTGATTTATGTATGTTGAATCATCTTTGCATTTCATGAATAAATCCCACTTAGTCATGATGAATGATCTTTTTAATAGATGGTTTATCTCATTTGCTAGTATTTTGTTCAGGATTTTTACATCAATATTCATCAGTTATTGTCCTACAGTTTTCTTTTTTTGATGTATCTTTGGTTTTGGGATTATGATAATACTGACCTCAGAGAATGTGCTTAGAAGTTTTTCCCCCTCTTCTGTTTTTAAGAATAGTTTGAGTAGGATTAGTATTAGATCTTCTTTAAATATTTGTTAGAATTCAGCGGTGAAGCCATCAGGTCCCAGGCTTTCCCTTACTGAGATACTTTTTATTATGGCTTTGGTCTCATTGCTTGCTATTGGTCTGTTCAGGTTTTGGATTTCTTCCTTGTTCAATCTTGGTAGGTTGTTTATGTCTAGGAATGTGTCCATTTCTTCTAGATTTTCCCATGTATTGGCATATAGTTGCTCATAGTAGCCACTAATAATCCTTTTAATGTCTGCCATATTGGTTGTAGTATCTCTTTTCATCTGATTTTACTAGATCTTCTCTCCTTTTTTTCTTCATCTGGCTTTTGTTATATTGATCTCTTATATTGTTTTTTCATTTCAAATTTATTTATTTCTGCTCTGATCTTTGTTGTTTCTTCTACTAATTTTGGATTTGGTTTGCTCTTTTCTAATTTTTTTAAGATGCATTGTTAATTTGTTTATTTGAGGTTTTTCTTCTATTTTGCTGTAGGCAGTTATCACTATAAACTTCCCTCTTAGTACTGCTTTTGCTGTATCCCATAGCGATGTTGTGTTTCCATTTTTATTTGTTTTGAGAAGTTCTTTAATTCCCTTCTTAATTTCTTCATTGACCCACTGGTCATTCAGGAGGATATTGTTTAATTTCAATTTTTTTTTATAGTTTCCAAAATTCTTCCTGTTTAATTTCAATGTGTTTTTTAGTTTCCCAGATTCTTCCTGTTATTAATTTCTCATTTTATTCTATTGTGGTCAGAGACAATGTTTGATATGATTTGAGGTTTTTAAAAATGTTTTAAGACTTGTTTTGTGACCTAACATATGGTCTACCCATGAAAATGATCCATGTGCTGAGAAAAAGAATTTGTATTCTGCAGTCACTAGATGAAATGTTCTGTAAATATCAATTTGGTCTATAGCTCAGGTTAAGTCTGAAGTTTCTTTGTTGACTTTTTTATGGAAAATATGTTCATCCCTGAAAATGGGGTGTTGGTATCTCCAGCTATTATTGTATTGGAGCCTATATCTCTCTTTAGCTCTAATAATACTGTATATATATATAGTCCAGTGTTGAGTGCATTTATATTTAAAATTGCTATATCTTCTTGCTGAATTGACCACTTAATCATTATGTAGTGACCTTCTTTGTCTCTCCTTAAAGTTTTTGTCTTGAAATTTATTTTGTCTAAGTATAGCTATTCTTGCCCTTTCTGTCTTATTTAAATGACAAATTTAATAATTACATGTTGAAAATTAATTTGGTGAGAATATCAATAAAATTTGAGTTGTGATTAAAGGATACAATCTTTATCTGCTTTATAAATATTTTATGAAATTATAAAGTGATAGTAATTAATATAGTATGCCACCTCCTAATGAATAAACTGTTCAATCCCATTGCTTCAAAATAAATGTCAAAATCACAGAATTTAATAAAAGTAAAAAGAAACAAACCAGTGGAAATTATACATGAATATGTTTTCATAGGGATTATGTTAGAGTTTTCAAGGATAATGTCAAATGAAGAAATAATATATGATTACATAAATTTAAATAAACAATGTAAATATGCTACAAATATTTATTTTACAAGGACATTTAGTATTTCTTGAGCATGAATAAGTGAATTTTTTTCATGTTTGCATGATGTACCTGGGAAAAATCCCTCTTCCTGAGTGATTTCTAATTTATTTGGAATGAAATGAATAGGTGGTCACACAACGCTTGACCATGCTTCTTCATTTTCTTCAGATTAACTCCTTAAATTTGTACCTTCATTTCTTTTCTCCTGTATTCTTCTTCTTTCTCCAGCATCACTTACAAAATCATATACCCAAAACAAGCCCAACTCAGATGTTATCAGTTCCATGAAACATTCTTTCTCCCATAGCCAAAATAATCTCCCCCACCTTTTAACCCTTATGGGTCATACTTATTACATTTTAATACTTATCTTAATAATTTTGTATTAAATTTAATTGAAAATGTAAAGGATAATTTTAGTAGAGAATAACTCTACTGTATTGTGACAGTGCTGTACCTTATTCATTTTCTTGGATCATAATTTGTGTCTTCAGTAACATACACTGTGATTTGATTGCATTCTTACCAAATATTTTGTTACTTGCTAAAAAAGACAGAGACATAATTTAATGTATAGATCGTGTGTCTCCTGAAAATAAATGCCAAATAATATGTGTCGCAAAATTTTTATGTAAATTTTAAAAAATATGATAGGTGAATTAAGTTGTCATACAGCACATGGTGGAATAGACATGGCAATGTAAAAAAATCTGCACTAAGTATTATATTTGCAGAATTTAGTCCACAAAACTATCTGCTAAAATAAGTTAATATTAATTAGAAATGCCCTGATTTTATGGTTATTTTATTTGTTTGTAGTGTGTTTTGGTTTTATAATTGTATTATATATGTGTGAAGTATGTATACTCAATTTTATATTTGTATACAAGTATCAGGCAATCTAAGTCAGCATCAGGAGTCTTGTAAGACTTTTTCTTCTAAAACATTTTGTATATTACTCACAGTTGTGAAATATTGATACATACTGCATAATATTATTCAGATCAGAGGCAGAAGAAATCAGAGTATTAAGAAATTTCATTTTGAATGACAGCTGCATTGTGATTGTATCATAAGTAATGATTTTTTATTCATCCATAATGACAACTAGCCATTTGGCAAATAATCTATAAAGAACTTTGTCCAGATCTTAAATCAGTATGTGTTTTTATTAGTCATTTTAAAAATATTCTAATTTTAAAATAGTTAAGGAATGGTTTTTAACTTTTTCCTCAATGATGGGTTTAGTACTTTATTTCTTTAATCCCCCATGTATCTTCATATTGTCCTGATTTTCAGCTTACCGTTTTATAGCCTATGTAATTACTGTGTGAAATGTTTTACATAATTATATTGAAATCTTATATTCAAATGGCAAGATATTTTAAAAGATTTTTGAGCATAGATGCCTCTGTTGGCTCTTTGATACTATTACTTATGATTGCTTTACTTATTTTCTCTTATATTCTTTACTTGTATTCCAAGTAGGTGAAAATGGACATTTCACATATCTGTTATCACTTCTACTTAAAAGTAAAATTTGGTCAAAAATAGGAGAAATTAAAAGCACTCAATTCTTTATCTGTTTCCAAGTTTTGGCACTCTGGTTCTTGCTCTTTTTTGTATAAAATTGTTTCATTAGATATTTCTAAACTCTGGAATTATTTCTGAATGTATACATTATAATTTTTATTTTTTAAGCGTTAATTAAAGGTGATTATGCAGTATCATATTGTAGTTTACTTAGAATCCAATATGATTTTTAGAAGCATGCTTTTATTCAAACAACAGATAGATAATTAGAACCATTTGGACAAAGAAGAAAATAATTTTAAATATGGTTTGACCTTAATTTTATAAAAGTAAATATTTTTGTGATTTGTATAATAATATTCAGATTAACAAATTCACTAAAATTGTCGTTGAATTTTTAGAATACTATAAGCAATGTTTTTTATTTATTGTACTTAACATTACTTTTACTTACCATTCTTGTTGCAAGAAAACCCTTGTCTTTTAGAGAATACAATATTATTTACATTAATTCATGTGGCTTGGTGAAAAAAATGCTATAACTCCTTAACTTAATGGGATTCTTCCCCTGTGGCAGTGCAAACGGCTAGAGCAGGAGCTTCATCATCTGAAAGAGCAGAACCAGACTTCAGCAAACAACATGAGACATCTGACTGCTGAAAACAATCAAGAACGTGCTCTGAAGGTAAATCTCCATTCCTTCTTGCAGGCAAATTAAGGTTGTAAGCCCTTGGTGCCAGCGTTCTGTGCTGCATATATCAGTTGTGTACATTTCAGCAGAAGTGAGCTGTGGTGTTTGCCAACAACCCCTTCTTTAAACACAGATATAGCACCCTTCTGTTGTGGTATTATTTATTTCATGTATGTGCACATGAAAACAACGTATTTTCTGAATTTTGAGTGGGGGTATATTAATAACTTTTGGTTCGTTTATTCTGTTTCTTTTTTTATATCATTACCTTTTGTAGTTAATAAAAAGTGACCACACTAAAAGAAAAAAAATTAAATCATAGGCCTTTGCTTTGCATCAATACCTATTATAATAATTTTTAAAAACCTTATAATATTAGTCACCCACAGAACTGACAGTCCTTAAGAATATGTGAATGTGTTTGCGAATTGAGAGGTACTTTGAATGTTACAACAGACGAAATAGAAAGATGTTAAATAATAAATTCAACTAGAACTTGAAACAAATGAAGTGCACATTTCATGACAAAAAGTTCTGTCTGATTGTAATATAGATTGAGTAATTATGAAAAGGGACATGATTTTAATTCTACTAATTATATTTTTTTCTCAAGGTACTTGAGACTTGTCGTTGTACATTTTTTTTTTTTTTTTTTTTTTTTAAGACAGGGTTTCATCATGTTGGCCAGGCTGGTCTTAAACTCCTTACCTCAGGTGATCCGCCTGTCTTGGCCTCCCAAAGTGCTGAGATTACAGGCGTGAGCCACCACGCTTTTGCCTGGTTCCCAGTGTAGTGCCTGTACACAGTAGTTGTCTCTACCTTCAAGATGCTTGCATTCTTATGTTAACCTGTTAAGGTTTAAAAAAAGAAATCCATGGGAAATGGAAGAGATTCATCATTGTTTTTATTGTACAATTAGAAAAGATTTGCTACCAGTAATGTTATATTTTACTTTGCTGTCTTAAATTTGTTTTTTTGCTGCACATTACAGAGCAATATCATGGCATTAGCCATGTAACTCACTAAGCTGGAATCATGTACCAAAATTGAGGAAAATGGTGACATTTTAATGTAGAAAATATTTTTAATCTGTCTAAGAAGTGTAAGATTTGGTAGAAGTAAGATTTTTCCACAAAATATATTTAGCTTCATTTTTATCTTCTTAGTGGTAGGCTTATAATAACTTCATTATTATTTAATGCACTTTCTGCTTTAGACAGATGAAAACAATAAATGAGAAAGCAACAAAAAGGAATTTACTATTTTATGAAAACTAAGAATAATCATTTTTAAAATGTATACTTGCAAAATAGAAAACATTAATTTAAAGGCAGCTTCCATAATATGTGCTAATTTATTATCAGTATTATGGGACAGATTTCATGGGCTTAATATAATATGCCTGTCTCCATTTAAAACAGTGCCTAAAATAAAAATTCTAGAAATATCTAGAAATAGATGGAATAGATACTTTTTGTTTGTTTGAGACAGAGTCTCAGTCCATTGCCCAGACCTGAGTGCACTCTTGTGATCTAGGCTCACTGCACCTCTGCCTCCTGGGTTCAAGTGATTCTCCTGCCTCAGCCTCCCAGGTAGCTGGGACTACAAGTGTCCACCACCACACTGGCTAATTTTTGTATTTTTAGTAGAGTCGGGATTTCACCTTGTTGGCCAGGCTGGTAATAGATAAATTTTAATAAGAATTTATTAAAATTAGAGGTAAAAAAGTAGACCAAAAGAGTCCTGGAAGTTTAAAACAAACATTAAACCCCCATAAGATAGAAATTTCTATTAACTGTAGACTACTATCTAATTTAAAATAATATAGCTATGATTTTACTTCTGACATATATACTATATTAAAATCTTTCCTAGTTGCACATCTTTTTTTTGCAGAAGTCTCAAATTTTTCTGAGGTCTTTTAATCCTTCATAACATTCATTAGGTAAGCTAGCTTAAATCCTTGGTGAAGATGAGAGGAAGAATTAACTTTTAAAAAGTCATCAACTCAATCTCTTAATCATCTGTGTTCATTTAAGCTTGTTTTAAAATGGCCTGTCTTATATAACACTAACTGAATACTTTTTTAGTAATTTTATGCCATATTTCCTCATGAGAAACTCTAAATTTGTTCTGAAAGTTAGATCAATTATAATACATTTACTTTATTCTAAATTATTTTTAAAAAAACTATTCTTACCTTCCAGGAATTTTTGGTTTTTATTTGATGTACTAATTATAGCACTATGTATCTTTAAGATGTCATATGAGTTATGAATAATAAGTTTATTACCAAGCTGCCTGGTGAGTGAACAGTTTGCCTCCTTTCTGAGCAATATGTTTTATCTTTTACAACTTATTTATAAGTATCATTTTTTTTGTTTGTTAACTGATTTAATATTTAGTTAGTATCTTAATGTGTGTCAGGAAACACTTTTTTTTTTTTGAGACAGAGCCTTGTTCTGTCACTAGGCGCCAGGCTGGAGTGCAGTGGCACGATCTCGTCTCACTGGAACCTCTGCCTCCTAGGTTCAAGCAATTCTCCTGCCTCAGCCTCCTGTGTAGCTGGGACTACAGGCTCGTGCTACCACGACTCCCTAATTTTTGTATTTTTTAGTAGAGATGGGGTTTCACCATGTTGACCAGGATGGTCTCGATCTCTTGACCTCATGATCCACCTGCTTCAAACTCCCAAAGTGCTGGGATTACAGGTGTGAGCCACCGCTCCTATCCAGGAAAACCTTTTTTAAAAAGAATTGCTGTGTCTAAAGCTTTCAGTTGGCCAATGATATTTCTAGTGTTTTATTATAAATAGTATTGTTATTAATTATCATTGTTAAGTGTCAACTTGAGTAGGGTAGGAACTGAAAAATTCATGCTTTATTTTATTGAATTACATGGAAAGTCCTAAAAGTAACAGTTCTAGAGATATATTTAGGGGGAAAATAATCAAAATTAATGGTCATAGACTACACAGAACTTTGATTATGGCAAAATCAGATGTCATACAAGGAAACACTTTTTAATACTAGTGTCATTTTAACAATAATGTCTTTGTTTATTCTAATACCCAGACATTTTTTTCGAAGTTACTTTTTATGGTAGAGCCTAAGATTAGATTTTTAGTGATCATTTATTTATAAGTGTTCTTTTTAACGTAGGATGCAATTATACTAGATAAATTTGCAGGTTGGATGTGGTAGCTTATGCTTATAATCCCAGCACTTAGGGAGGCTGAGGCGGGCAGATCACTTGGGGTCAAGAGTTCAAGATCAGCCTGGTCAACATAATGAAACCCCTTCTCTACTGAAAAATACAAAAATGAGCAGGGCATGGTGGCGGGTGTCTGTAATCTTAGCTACCCAGGAGGCTAAGGCATGAGAATTGTTTCAGCCCAGGAGGCAGAGTTTGCAGTGAGCAGAGATCATGCCACTGCAGTCCAGCCTGGGCAAAAGAGCGAAACTCTGTCTCAAAAAAAAAAAAAAAAAAAAAAAAAATTGCAAGACGTAGCACTGTTTCTCCTACTTTTATGTTTTAAATTTTTCCTAATAACAAGCAAAACACAGTGGTATCTATAGGAAAAGGGACTGAATTATACTGATAATAGTATATACTCTGAATGTTGCTTTTTAAAAAAAGAATTTATTTTCTCATTTAATGTAAATTTTATGTTAATTGGTTTCTTGAAGAACATGAAACATGTAAGTTTTTTGTTTGTTCATTTTGAGACAGAGTCTCACTCCATCACCCTGGCTGGAGTGCAGTGGCATGATCTTGGCTCACTGCAGCCTCTGACTCCCGGGCTCAAGCGTTTCTCTGGCCTCAGCCTCCTGAGTAGCTGGGATTACAGATGTGCACCACCATGCCGGCTAATTTTTGTATTTTTAGTAGAGACAGGATTTTGCCATGATGCCCACGCTGGTCTCAAACTCCTGGCCTCAAATGATTTTCCTGCCTCACCCACCCAAAGTGCTGGGATCACAGGTGTAAGTCACCATGCCTAGCCTTGAACATATACTGTTTTTAAAATAAATTTGCATTAGCTATAAATATGTAGACATCAAACTTAATACGAAATTTCATATATATTGCCTTTTCTTTTAAAAAATTATTATCGTTATTGTTACTATAATTTTCTTTTAGATGGGCATCTCACTCTGTCACCTAGGCTGGAGCGCAGTGGCACAATCACAGCTCACTATAGCCTTGACCACCTTGGCTCAAGTGATTCTCCTGCCTCAGCCTGCCACATAACTGGAATCATGGCATGTGCCAACATGCCCAGCTGATTTTTTTATAATTTGTAGAAATGAGATCTGAAACTCCTGGGCTCAAGTGAACATCCCTCCTTGACCTCCCACAGTGCTGGGATTACATACATGATCCACCATGCCCAGCCTCCTTTGTAATTTATTAATTTACCTTCCTTGTCACACATCATTACCTTCCCACTATTGGAATTGTTCAATAAATTCCATTGAAAGTGAATCTCCCTTAGACTATAAAAAAGCTCTGATGGTTAATAAAAGTTTGATATTTATTATTTACTATCTTTAATCCCAATCAACCTAAGAAGAATAACTCATTTCAATCTTGCTGGTACCCTCCCTCTTGACACACTTGCCTGTAGTTTCCTTTCTTTCCATTCTCTCTCTCTCTCTCTTTTGACAGGTTCTTGCCATGTTACTCAGGCTGATCTCAAACTCTTGGGCTCAAGCAATGCTCCTGCCTCAGCCACCCAAGTAGTTGGGATTACAGGAAGTTACTGCTGTAACTGGCTTTTTGTAGTTTCCTGTTACTGTATTCCCATTATTTTTCTCTTTTTTGATTGTTCTTCCTTACTTAGTCTTGATAGCTGGTGCCCATTTTTCT